GCACAGGAGGCCGGCGGCTCCCTCTCAGTGACATGCCTCGCTCCCCCATGAGCACCAACTCCTCTGGCCATACTGGTTCAGATGGGGAACAGGAGACGGTGGACAAGTCCCAGACAAAAACTCCAAACAACCAGTATAGTACGGGAGAAGAGTCCATGGACTGTACAGGTATTTCTATTTCACCTGGTGCATGTTAGTGTAGCACCACGAATGTTATGTCTAATGGGAGGACACTTCATTTAATGGTAAATGTCCCTGCACAGCATCGCCTGCCCATCCTCGACCTGGTCCTGCAGGCTGTTCCTTGGACAGCCCTAAACCATTCCACTCTCAAGCTCCTGGTATCCCCAAGCAGGAGAAGACACCACCGACAGGAAGCATTCTGAACCTCAATCTAGGTGAATCTTTTACGCCAATGATGTCATATGCATGAACGTTTTTAATAGTGTCCATTCTCTGTGAGCAAATACAGGTCAACATTGGACACAATTCTGCTGGAAATAAAGTCTTTTGTGCAGATGTTTGGAATGATTTTACGTTGTATTCTTCCAGATCGCAGTAAAGCAGAAATGGACCTAAAGGAGTTGAGTGAAACAGTTCAGCAGAAACAAGGAGCCACACCAGTCCTCACCTCTCCAAAAAGACAGATCAAGAGCCGTTTCCAGCTGAACTTGGACAAAACCATTGAGAGTTGCAAGGCACAGCTGGGTCAGTAGGGTTCCAAAACATCCCAAAACAATTTGAATATGATGAGGTGTTGTGGTATTGAGTCATTTTGATCCAGTTGCTTGCTTACTTGTGCTTGCTGCTCTTTAGCTGAACCCTATAACATTTTTAATGGTGTTATGATATCCCTCCTATTCCTTTTGCTTTGCAGGTATAGATGAGATCTCTGTTGATGTGTATAAAGGTGTGGAACACAGTGACTCAGAAGACTCTGATAAATCTGACTCCAGTGACAGTGAGTACGCCAGTGATGAGGAGCAAAAGACCAAGGATGGCCAGGATGCAGCACCCAATGACGAAGCCCAGAAGGAGCCTGCCAAAAGTAAAGTCAAAGACCAAACTTCCCCGAGTCAAGATAAGGAGGGTAAAGCTGATGGGGTCGTGGGGTCTGAGTCTGCAGCAGGTGACACCACTGCAACAGCATCAGATGCTCCAACTAAAGAGAAAATAAGTAAAGATTCAGAAAAAGAGAGCCCAGAGAAGACCAAAGCACCTCCAGCATCTCCGGGTCCCAGAGACAAGTCTCAGGTGAAAGAAGATTCAAAGCAGTCTGTGCCAGTGGAGGACTCTGACTCAGAGAGAGAGCTGGTTATTGACCTTGGAGAGGACCAGGGAGGCAAGGACAGGAAAAGGAGTAGGAAAGACAATGCCGCTGTTAAAGAGTCATCTGCTGGTAAATCTGAAGGTGAGAGTTGTAGTTTTTTTTCTGCTGATCCCACAAGAAATATTCAAACACACAGTGAATGTAATGTACATTTTCAGCGTTTCTGACATGTGGAAACATCAGCAATTTTTGAACTTATGAAATAATGTCTGTACTTTCCATTTAGGTAAAGCCCTGACCCCATCAACACTCCCGTCTCAAAGCAGTACAGCTCCTTCCACACCCTCCAGTGTTTCCACGCAGTCCCCTATGGCCATTCCCGTCACCATGGTCTCCTTCACTGCTCCCTCTCCTGCAACCATAAGCCTTACAACAGTGTCCAGTGCCACAGCAACACCTCCCTCTTCTTCCTCAGCCTCCACCACACCAGCGCTGAAGAAACAGCGCCCTCTGCTGCCCAGAGAGACGGTGCCAGTGGTGCAGAGAGCTGTGGTGTGGAATCCCACTGCCAAGTTTCAGACCTCCTCTCAGAAGTGGCACATGCAGAAGGTGCAGCGTCAGCAACAGAACCAGCAACCTGTGGCTACCACACAAATGCAGGCGTCATCGTCTCCCAGGCAAAGCCAGGCTCAAATGCCGACCCAGACACAGGCTGCTGGGAACGGCTCGACAGCAGTATCCTCATCTTCAGCACAGCCGTCTTCACAAAGCACACGCTATCAGACGAGACAAGCTGTTAAAGGTAGAAAACAGTATTCACATATATTCATGACAGCATTAAAGTATGACTTTACACAGTGAGAGGGGCCAGTATACTCAAAATTCCTTGTGAAAGTGATTAGAAAATGTAGTACACAAATGTTTAATATCCATGTTATATAAATAAAGGCTGTAGGTACCCTAGATTGATAGAGGCAAATTCTTTGTCAAAGTAACTCAGAAATGGTTGCCATTACTTGTAGAATTTCTGATTGGAGCCACATGTTGCATACTATAATCTCCAGCTCAAGGTCAGACATGAAATCCCTAATCCACAGTGTTTTTTAATTCTAGCTGTTCAACAAAAAGACACTCCAATCAGCACATCCACTTCCGCTGTCACCCTGGTGTCCAGTAGTCCAGCTTCTGTTGCCATGATGGCAGCCTCAAGTTTAGCCACAGCTGCTACATCTTCACCAGTGGCAACAGACCTGTATATTCCCACTGCCTCAGCGGATGTGGCTGCAGACATTGCCAAGTACACGAATAAAGTTAGTATTATTTTTCGTTAACATTTGCTTTGTAAGGTGCCAAAGCCACTGGACTGGACTTTAGCACTGACTGATTATTCTCTGGTTAAATAACCTAGATGAAAACTGACCCTGACAGCAATATGTTTTATTTCTCCAGGGAGAAATTCACAATACCCCAGTGTCTAATACACTGAGATACAGTAGATTTCAGCTCTTGATAGCTTTCAGGCTACAAATTCTTTACTGCTATATGAGAGAGACTTGAAGATGATAAGACAAAGAACCACATCGGTGTTGGTAGTTCATATGTCAGTCTGAGCCATCACTAATATGTTTTGTGTGTTGAAAGAGACATCAGAATATTATGGTCCATGGTCTTTTTCAGATAATGGATGCAATCAAAGGTACAATGACCGAAATCTACAATGATCTTTCTAAGAGTACTTCAGGGAATACAATAGCAGAGGTAAGTATTTGTTCTTGGCCCCTCAGAGACTGAATGCATTCAGATCATAATAGTGGCTTAAACCTAATGTGACCCGTGGCTTTTTAATTCAGATCAGACGGCTGAGAATCGAAATAGAGAAATTACAGTGGCTGCATCAACAAGAGTTGTCAGAAATGAAGCACAATCTTGGTGAGAACTTAATCGATGACCAAAACACTTTTTTGTTTTTGTTTTACTTGTGTCTGATCATGTTTTGCTTACTTCAATGTAGAGCTTACAATGGCAGAGATGAGGCAAAGTCTGGAACAGGAGAGAGAGAGGTTGGTGACTGAGGTGAAGAAGCAGATGGAGCTGGAGAAGCAGCAAGCAGTGGATGAGACAAAGAAGAAACAGTGGTGTGCTAACTGCAGAAAGGAGGCCATCTTCTACTGCTGCTGGAACACAAGCTACTGTGATTACCCCTGTCAGCAAGCCCACTGGCCCGAGCACATGAAGTCCTGCACTCAGTCAGGTAACAGCATCAACATGCTGTTGATGGCATTCACACAAACTCTCTTACGGCAGCTGTTAACCCTGTCTGGAAGTCTACAGTCCTTTGCTTGCTTGCATATTCACCAGCCACGTTACTACTAACATAATCATAGATGTAATGTATTCTTTCACTTTTGTTCTGTTTGTAGCCACAGCCCCACAGCAAGAACCTGAGGCTGAGTCGACAGCAGACCTCCCAAACAAAGGTTTAGGGCAGACTAGCAGTGGCCCAAACTCTCTCAGAGACACGTCGGTCTCAGCACCATCAGACAAAGACTCTGACATGGAGAAGAGCACTGACAACGTTGCTGTCACTTTGTCCTAACCAAGCTTACCATACTTGAAAATGTAAATGTATAGGTGTTTTTTTTTTCACTACAAGGACATGTCTATGTAAATTGTTCTGTTCAAGCAGCTGTTAAGGGAGCAATCTAAAATCTTTTTATTTATATATTTTTGTTTGCCTTTCAGGGGTCACATACTGCCCCCTGTGCACAGTGGTCTTTAAAACATTTTAAATGTCGAAGCAAGACTGACAGCAGATAGTTAGTAACCACTAAAGGGGGCAGTTTAAAAAATGTATCCTGCATATTCATGCACTCCTTTGCAGTCTATAGAGAGCTGTCAGTATAAAGATTTTAAGAGCATGCCTGAGTGTCACAAAACATACACATAGTGTAAAGGACAACAGTTCAACAGTTAAAGACTGCAAAAATGTAACCCATGTTAATGGACCACCCCAGCTTTAGGTTAGAGGACTGTTGACAGAAATGTCTGTAAATTACTTATTTTGTATTCTCTGTTAATTTATTTGTTATTCTAATGTTGCCTGCTGTATACTGCAAAGAAAATAACAAATACAAACATTTTAAACAAGCTGTTTCTATGGTTACACTGGTCTAATTAGGTATGAAGCAGTCTTCAATCAATTAGCATTGTTTCAACTGTAGGATTTAAATAGACAACTTTATATTTTAAACTCAAGCTCAGATAATACAATCATGCAAAACACGAACTGTGCCAGGTTGTATCTTATAGTTGTTTCAGAAAAACGTGTTCATGTGTTGGATTGGTTTTGGTATATGTACATTTTATACAACTATATTTTGTCAGCTCCTCACTGTTTTTTTTTAACATGTGTGGCACATTTTAATATTTCAGGACTCCATACATCAGAGGTCCTGAAAAAGAGGTTTATTAGGACTTTAAATACAGACTTGTCCGAGGTCAAAATTCTGCAATGTTGTATCAAATGCAGAAGAACAAGTCAGATAAAAGTCAAGATTTCTTCATCTCACAACTACAATCTCTTACTACTGCACAGTATAATACTACGTTAAAATGCGAAAACAAACGAGTCAACTGTGAACTAAAAACCGTATAAGGCTGCCCACAGGCCAAACAACCCCAGCATTATTGCCTGTGTCTGCTCAGTTTTCCTCCTGACCAGTGGGGGCGCTGTAGACACACTGGGGGTATTGTGTAAACCGTCAGCCATCTGCCGCAGTCAGTTAACGCTAGCTCCAGCGGGAATGGAAAATGGAGGATTGACCGAAGAGCGAGGGCATATCATCGGTATTTCTAGCGCGTAGGTGGGTAGAATGCAACAAATGAAAATATTAGTATTGAAGTGTACTTTAGTTGTTTGTGGGATGCTACCGTGTCTCGGTTGTACTCGAGGCACCGCTGAATAGATGCTCCTGACGTTAGCTCTAACGTTAACGTGTGTACAAACGACGCGGTTACATTTGACTCTGCTCAGTTAGACATGGCTACTGCTACAAAATGAATGTCTCTCATTGTTCAGTGTTGGGTAGTTACGTGTTTAGGTTTCAGGGGCTACCTAAATGTCTACCAGCTACAGGTTGACTGTGTCGTTAGCCTAGCCGTGCTCGTGGTGGCTAACAGCGTTAGCCAAGCCTGCTAACTTAGCTACAAGTGCACGTTTCACACCGCTCGGTGCCTCGTTGTGAAACGAGACGGTAGCGGACGGAAGAACATGCAACGATGTGCTTAACGTTACACAGGGCGTTACCGGGTGAGCCCCACGCAGTAATGCAACACACTTTATATCACTATGGTGTTTCGATAGCGTAACGTTGCGGGTTTGGCAGAAGGTTTTCTCAGCGGCCATCATTGGTGTCGGGTGTGCATCCTTCGTGTCGTAGCTGTTTGTCTGATTTCTCCTGTATATTCCCACTTGATCCATACTCATTTACAGCACATGACCGTATACACGCGAACTGATGCCGGGTTGAGATTGGGATTAAAGCGGTATGTCGTCACTGCATAGAGGCCCCGAGCAGCAGCTACTGGACCTCCAGTATGTGTAACGTTATTACAAGTAAAGCATCACTGCTAACGTGTCAGGAAGGTTATTGTATCGCTTTGTCTGAATGTGTGATTATATGTATTTGATCTTCGTCCCGGGCCCCTCCCACCTTTCATAGCAACAGCCCCCCTCCCCCTCCCCAAACTCACGTGGCACGTAGTCGTGACCACAGGCGCACCATTGGATGGATCCTGTTTAATCACTTTCAGTCTTGGGTTGGATTTTTTATCCGGTGTTGCGCTGAAGCAGATACAGTGATTATGGATTCATTATGGATGCCATTTCCTAGAGATGCATTCAACTACTCAATGAGTTACATTATTCTTAAAGGTTTCTCCCTCACTGTGAATTGTCAGCAGTTCCCTCCTTCATATTTGGCTCTATTATCCATTTGCTGTGACTTTGAATAACGCAGCAGAGTCATCATTGTGCCTTATTAAACCATCAATTTAACGTTTCAACTGAGCACTTGGGCAAATGATAAATACCCTACTTAGTGTTGTTTGTATTATCCAAACAAATCCTCACCGTTGTTGCACTTTGACCCTGACTTGTGTTTTTCTCTATCTGACAGATCCCTTTATCCATGTACCAGGATCGATGATTACTGCTGCGAAGCCTTTGTTTAGTTTGAAGAAGCATTCTGTTACGCATCACTGCTGAACTGCAGGTACAGACATTGGCTGTTTTCATTACCTGCTCTTACGTTAGAGAATAGCAATTTTGTCCCCGGAGAATCTTGAGTGTAGTGCAGGTTTGTTAATTATCATTTGCAGAACGATTTAACAAAGATTTAGCACACTAAATCAACATAAACCATTTCTTTATTGCCTTAGGCCATAACAACCTGTGAGTGCCTAAAATGTCCTGACTCTTATATAACATAGTTTTTTAGTTTTCATCCCAATAAATTAAATTCCAAATTATTCAAATAGCAAACATTACATCTGTCATTTTAAGTTAGAACATGTACGATTTATATTGTAATATTCTACTAAAGTAGTTACTATTCATATATTAAATATATATTAAATTGCAGCATTAGACTATAGAGGTTATGTATATGATGTTCCCACTTTCCGTCACCCTGAGTAGCAAACATGCTACACTCAGCATCTGTCATCATGCATTCTTATGGAAAATACTGCTAAATATAAAAAGCTAACAGATAAAACAATAATCTTACTTTTGATTTTGATTAGGCTGATCAATGTAAAGTGTGATGGCTTACTCTCTTGGTTCTGGACACACGTATACAGTATGTAGTTGTGTCAGTAAACGCATCCATATTTGAATGTCTACATGCTGCTATTGATGGATCAAAATTTGGCAGTTAAAAAAAAAATATCTGAAAAAGACGTATTTTATTCCTTTTACAGAATTGTGAATAAGTTATGTACAGAGTGGGACATTTAGTTACAAATCAACTTCTTATTTCTTCCTGGTGGATAAACTAGACACCGTTTCCAAATGAACTCTAGTTAAAGCCTAGTTTGGCATTTCTGTACTGCAATTTCTTGTTGCTAATTATTCAACATATACACCAATATGATTTATTGCATGAAGCTAATATTGACCGATATGTCGAACACATCATTGTTGATACATATGGCTTTTATGATTTCAAGATACGTGTTTGTGTTCCTCTCATTATTGCATCTGTCCCCATTTGTAGCAGCCATAATGAGGTTGTTTGGCTACACTGTGATGGTAGTGGTATCATGTGAAAAATTTACATCATTGCATACTTTCAATAGAGCTGCCATTACAAAAGATTGTTGAATTTGTACGTATGCAAATAAACGTAAGTGTTATATTTGTAACAGTATTTTGGAGCAATAATGCTATAAGTCACAAATATGGCAGCGCTGCCTAAGGAATAAATACCAGGTGGCTTTCAGTATATGTCATATTATTACCTGAAAAGAGTGACTCATAGCTGGTCTCTTGTGCTCTTCTGTAGTTTGAAAGTAGTGATTGACTCCATCATCTATGGAGGAGAATGTGAGCCCTGAGCTCTCTCTAGCTCCTGAGCCAGAGCAGAGCCAGGACCGTATGGATAGCTGCTCTCAAGGTACCTTGGATGAGCTTTTTTTCCTTCATAATAATACGTTACGTTGTCGTAATACCAGTTGTTGTGTCAGGTTCTATNTTAAAATGTGGGTGAAAATGTAGGGTAAGCAAGGGTCATAACCAAGTCTAACAATCATATTCAAATTTGTTTTAATTCATTTGTACAGTATGCTTGATCACAAAACAATCAGTTTCTTAGCTATGTGTTACTGGTGGTTGCATGCCATCATTTTTGCCCACAGCTTTCTTTGATCGTCTGTTCACAGGTTTTGGAGAAGGGGATAGTGAGCATATAGAACAGTTTCAAACTGAAAGCGAGAATGTGGCCAAAGAGACATTAGAGGAGCCAGATAAATCTTCAAGGGCTGGCAGCGAAGTAAAGAAGACTTGGGCTTTCCGACGGTCCACTGTTGCAAAGAGAGAGATGCCAGTGGAGGCAGCAACCAACAGCCCTGAAAACCGCTGTCCTGTACGTCGCAGTGGCAGGCAGTCTAAGCGTACTGACAAACTAGAGGAATTCCTCTTGACTGCCAAAAGGGGGTCAAGAAGGAGCGCCCCTCCCAGTCTAGAAAGTGGAGATCCTCCTTCCCAAACACCTACTGATGCAGAGACTGCCTCAGAGGCCAGCTTTGACGGTAACGCTGACACCAGGGCTGTAGAGGACAAGGTAGAGTCCCCAGAGAGGCTGACGAGAAGTGGCGCAAAGAAACAGACCCAACGGAAAACCAGAGGTGGCAGACAGGCCCAACGAGGCGGCAGAGTGACGGTCAAAGATGAGGGAAGCTCTGAGAACGAAGAGGACAGCAGAGATGCTGCCATTAAGGACCAGTTACCAGAAAAAAAAGACGAAACAAGTTGTCCCAGTCCTGAAGATGTAGGGAGCACTAATACAGTACAGCCTCAGCCAGAGCAGGACTCTGAAAACATGGGTGTTGAGGAGAAGAACGAACATGGAGATAAAAATGACAGCATGGAAACGGAGAAGGAGACCGACAAAGAGACTGATGAAGACGGCGCAGACAAGCCTGCAGCAATGCTGGTAAAACGAGGTCCAATAAGAACTTACATAAATAAAAAGAAGGTAGTCAATAAAAACACTACGTCCGTTAAAGCTTCTGCTCCTGCCACCACTGCTGTCAAGAGTGACACCAAGCCCAAAGCAACCCCAGCTTCTGAAAAGACACGCAAGGCCCAGACACAAAACGACAATGACGATGAGAATCGTGATGAGGACGACGACGAAGACGATGATGACGACGACGACGACGATGAGAATGACTCTTCGACGTCTTCGTCTTCATCTTCCGTTGATTCTGACGATGGAGGTTACGACCCCAATGCACTTTACTGCATCTGTCGCCAGAAACACAACAAACGGTAATTTGTTATCTATATTTTTTTATCCATTGTTGCTATTATTGGGATCACAATGACTGCAGTGTCTACTTAAAGTGTTAATAATGAAGTCCATCGTACATTTTAATGAGCATATTACCACTTGCTCTTTTGGGCTATATGTAAATATATATGTAAAAATGAAATGTGCTCTCTTTGTCTAGGCTAGTAGCTACAACCACTCTCTGATTCCTCATTGTCATGTTGTAGTCGGGCTCTGCTCGAAAGTATGAGGAAAGCCAGACAGAGTTTTTCTTGAACATTATTTAAAAGAAAGTTGACACTATAAATGTCCTTTGCACACTAGGTTCATGATCTGCTGTGACCGCTGCGAGGAGTGGTTCCACGGAGACTGCGTGGGCATCACAGAGGCCCGCGGGCGCCTGATGGAGAGAAATGGGGAAGACTACATCTGCCCAAATTGCACCGCTAAGAAAAACCAGGTGGTTAGACCCGCCACATCCATCCTCTCTACCAGCGCAGATATCGGAAAGCTCAAAGTTGACGTTGCTCCTTCAACTTCTGGTCTCGCTGCCCTTACCTCTTCTGCAACTGCTGAGAAAACCAGCGGAGCAGACGCCAGTCAGTCAGCTGTTCAGGCTGGGACAGCACCTCCGTCCTCTACATCTGCTGGAACTGAAGAGAAGGTAGCAGAGGACCAGGGCATCAAAGGCAGGATAGAGAAAGCTACTAATCCAACTGGGAAAAAGAAGATAAAGATCTTTCAGCCGGTAGGTTACAGCTGATCTCAACTTTGAATTAATTAATGATTATTAGCCCAGCTATTAAATCATTGTCTGAGTTGCTGTGCCTATTGTTCTGTCTCCCAATACTTTGTCATAGTGCATGTCAAGTATTGTCCTGATAACATTTGTTTCAAAGTTACTATGATGCCACACTCAACTATTTAGTGCTATAAAGAGTTCATACTTGAAAGCCATCTCACTACAGTCACTGTCAAATATTTAAATGTGTGGGAAAAATGGAAATTGTTGTTATTTAGCTGTGATTAGAGTGCAGTGCCCATGACTTCAACTGTTACTGTCTTTTGAGTCTGAATGGGTGTTTTTAGAGAATGCACATTAGGACCCAAAAAGTGGCTCCAGATAAATCTTTGGAGACAAACAGATGGCATAGCATCAGGCATGCTACTACAACTTGAAGCTAAAAGTCGTTCTGCAAAACATAGTACACAATTTTTGTTGCTATAAATAAAATGAGTAGTTAATTCAGAAAGCTGATATTGCATTGCTTGTCATCAGCTGTTAATTGTATTATGTACTGACTTGAAGCAGACTTTACAGCAGCCAGCTGAACCAAAAGCAGACCACAAATCTGCACTGACCGGGGAAAAGAAGGCGGCCCCCACAGCACAGCAGAAAGCACTCCCAGACACAGAGCAGAAAGTGGCGTCAAACGTGGAGGTGAAAACGTCAGCGGACGTGCCAGAGGAGGCCGGGAAGAAGGCTGTGGAGGAGTCTTCCCTTCCTAAGTGTATCGGTCCTGGCTGTGAGAATAACGCCCAGCCAGACTCTGTGTACTGTGGCAACGACTGTATCCTGAGGCACGCCGCTGCGACCATGAAGTCCATCACTGACGTCAAAGAGCCCAAGCAGAAGGAGAAGGCGAGGGCCCAGAAAACCAAGTCTACACCAAAGGTAACTCGGACCACTAGAAATAACACCCTTTACCTGTCAGCAAAAATGTTAATGCTTCACCTAATGTGAAAAGCTGTGCAGGGTAGCAGACGTAATATTCTAGTTATAATATCAGTGATGGCAGTGGAATGTACTTTCTTAGAAGTTGTGTATGACTGCCAAACAATCTCATGTCTTTATCACATTTGAGTAATAGTTTCTTAAAGTGCATTGTGTTGTTCGCTGAAGGGCTTATTGATTGTGTTGTTGGGCATTGAATCCTTGAGTAGATTACATATTCATTCATATGTATGGAACAACTATTACCTAATAACACACTCAAGTGGTATTACAAGCATATGTGGGATTGAGAAAAAGATTTACCTTGGCAGTGTCACGTTTTCTTGCTGTCGCTGCACCCTGATCATTTTAACAATGTCACTATATATCATTAAATATATCATTTAAAATCAAATCTTGCTGATTTAAAACGGTTTAGAAAGCATTGTTGTTGCTCTAAAGTAGTACTCGGAAGTGGAATTGCTTAACAAATGTAACTGGCAGCTGCTAATTTCTAAAGTCGGCACGTTTTGATGTTAAAGCAAAAAGCAAATTTAGTTGGTTAGCAACGGACTCACATTTAACAGGAGCAGATCACAGTGGTAACCTGCAGTGGAGTAGGTTCAGTGACCCGTCTACAGACCAGTCGGGTCATGGAAACAAGGGAGTCATCATTCCCACTGGATCCTTAACTGGACAAAAGCACTGCATGCAGATTAGTGTGACAAGTATTTCAAGCCGTCAAGCAATGCATTTATACGCCCAGAATGATTTGTTTTGCTTTACAAGGTAATTTATTATATCAGTGAAAGAAATACTATGTTGTAGCCCAATAAGGCTGCTGGTAATCTCCAGCCCTAGAGAATGTTCTAGAGGGAGGGTTGTATAAGTTGATCATTTCCCCAGTGCACTCAAACAATGGCAGCTTATTTAACAAAAGAATATCTAAATGAATATGGCTCCTAACACTTTACCTGCAGTGCATTTTGTTTACAGTTGTTATGCACGTTTTCATGCAGTCACATTATCTGCATTTCTGATGTCCTGTATAATTCATATTTATGTCATATTAGGGACATTATAGAGGAGTTAACTATAGGCTTAGAAATGTCAACAGTATAGAACAGCCTGAACGGTATTCTTTCTTTTACTGTCATTGTTTTGTATGGTTTGATTTTTGTGCTTGTGTTTTGCTAACCTAATTTTGCCTCTGCAATAATGAAAATTCCCCACAGGAGTCAGTGGTCTTACCCTGGTGTTAAATGCTCAACTTCTCATGTGTTGCTGTTAGAAGTGATTTGTTAAAATTTGTTACAACCGCTGCCTACTTCATGTGCTTTCATAACTAGATTAAAAAATGCTGAGGGCTTATTTCTCAAATGGGCCTGTGTGAGGTTGAACCTTCCAAGGGCCAGGGAGCGGGTTAAAAGCCTGACAATGTTGAACTTGCTTTGTTATACCGGGCCCACTTTTTAAGAACTTAATGGCTCACTAGCCTAGACCAGTAATGTACTTGCCAAAAGTATTTCACAGAAATATGCCCAGGTTTACAGAAGCTGGGATGCTATAGAGCAACGGGGCTGCCAGTCCAGAGCTTTGAGTAAGCAGAAATGCTATTAATGTACTAGGCACATTATGTGTACGGTGGTTAGAAAGGACAAAAATGGAAAAAAAAGAGAGAACACTTTTGTAAGAGTTAACCAAGGGCAGATTTTCCTGGCACTTAGCAGTGTTTTGTAGAGGGAATCTATTTTTAGAATCCAACATGGCTAAAATAAAACCTTACTGTTTTTAGTTAATCCAACTATGCTCGCTGAGAGCTGTCACTAAAAGGCCTGTTTCTTCCCCGTCCACCCAGAAGAGCGGCGCTGGTTGGAAGAAGACGCAGAAGAAGACCCGGGAGGAGTCAGACAGCGAGGAAGACTACAGCCCCGATCTAGATGAGGATGACGAAGATGAGCATGCTGAGGAACACCCACCCCCGCCAGCCACTGCATCCTGGTCCAGCGACCATAATTACATTGCAGTAACACCAGAAAAGACTACACCCATATCACCAACAGTGTTAAACAAAAAGTGTATGTATCTCTTTGAAGGTCTTGGGCTGTTTTTAAAACCACATTGTTGTTTTTCCCATTATAAATGTGGTTCCTGCCATGCTAACATCATTTAGAAACGATCCGTACGTTTGGGGAAGAACATGAGTGCTCTGGAGATGAACTCAGCTGTATGCTAGACTTAATGATTTGAAGTGTTATTTTGATAATGTAAAGGTTTTGTTACTCAGTGAAATGTTGGCAGCTGTGGAAAAGGTAAGTGTTATTTGTGGCGTTGGGTAAGTATTGAATAATCCAGAATATATTTATTTTGAAAGGGGCACTCCACAGATGGCACTCATCAAGATAATTTTATTAGTCAAGGTGGGCGTACTAAGCCTGTGAACACAGTTGTATAATGTCTTCTGTGGCTCGGGAAGAGCTTTGCAAAGTCATTCTGATGACATCACCAAGGTTATTTCAGCTTGGGCTTTGAAGACTTTCAATTCTTAACAGAAAGCTTGCGTTACAAGCTGAAGGCAGTAGGCTGAAAGATATAGGCTCTAACATGATGCTTATGTATTATGGGAAATGTAGGATCCAGCAGGGTTTTTTCTGGATCTACTACGCATGAGAAGTCGGGATACCTCGGCTTCTGTTGCATCAATCTTGAACATTCTTTTTTTAATATGACTGTTAAGTCTCTCAACTTTTTGGGAGTGCAATTCTAAATCGCTGGAGTACCTCCTAGTTAAACTGCAGGGGTGATGAAAACCTATAAAGGCACATGTGGTAGAGAGGAAAGGAGGGCAATAATCTCAACTTCAGAGCACTGAGCCGATTATGATGCTTTACCATCAGATGTGTGTGAGTGAATGTGTGTGAGTGAGTGAGTGAGTGAGATTTCAAATTACGTGTTTAAGTGTCTCCTGGGTTCATCAACTCAGCTGCTGGACCCATAAAAAAGGTCCTTCCCCTCCCTTTCTCCAGCAGGTAGGTACCTCAGAATTTCCCCATGTTAATGTGGACTGATGAAGCTAACATGGCTCATATTGAGCTGATGACTTCAAGCACCACCAAGGTTTTTTTTTTCTACCGTTCATTTTGTTTTTAACAGGCTGACTTGTTTCAAAGTTGTTGTTTTTTTATTCATATTGAATATGATGCCTCACTATTTAGTGGGGAACTGGCTTTAAAATAAAAGGTGATATAACAGATTTTAGGATGCCTCGATTGATTATGTGAGCAGTGTTGGCTTGCTGTAGGATGTCCTGACCAGTTCAGCTCAAACAAGCGTATGCATCTGATAAATCTACACACACTGTGGAGATGTGACACTCAAGAGCCCCCAGATGGTGAACAGCCAGAGAAGGGAAAGAAGCCGTGCCACCGAGACCAGACCACCTGAAGACAATGCAGTGAAGTTCTGAACGGCCACATCAGAAGATGAAGGCTGAAGACCTGATGCAGAAGAGGGAGACCCTCGCTCAACGCTTTACACACACATTTAGCACCTGATGAGATCTGATATATATTGAGGAGAATGATTGTTGCTATGAAATGTGGACATTTTAGTTTATTTAACTTTTATAAGAGGTCATTGAAGGCACTAGAATGATCTTAATTGATAGTAAGTGTTAATCTGAAGTCAATGCATCATCTTGAGGTCAGGAGATCAGTATGATGATTGTTGTGATTAATAGGATATTATGGCTCATTGATTTGTCCTTTCATAGTCCATATTATGCTGAGTGATACTTTGATTGGTGAGACAACATATCTTCAGAAGATGGTTGACTTTGGTTGCTTTTGGTCTCAATACTGTTGCTCTGCACAATATTATTGTGGTTTATACATCTTAGTAGGTGCATAAGTTTTGCCTCTCCTGTCCAGAGGTGGGGTTAATGCTTCTAACCTGCATGGCACGCTGGCTTGTAGCATGCTACATGGACACAATATATGACACAGTAGCATCAGCAGATGACGGTTTGAAAAGAGTTTTGACAAGTGTGCATTGAAATATAAATTTCGGTGCAAATTGGTTAATATACTTTTCTTTATATGTTTGTGAAGTGAAAAGTTTTTAAGGGATGTAGTATGTGTACCTGCATCATTTATTCAAATGACAGCCATTAATAGGAATTGGGTCTAGTTACTTATGAGGTCAGAGCTCATTACCTCATCAACTTGTGATAGTGGGTAGAGTTTGTAGCTGTGCTCATGAATATGAATTAATCTTTAAATTTACAGTTTAAGAATGAGTAAGTTATGAACTCATTTTCTTTTTATTCTAACCCACATATTCCATGCATGCAATTCTATGGATCATTTATGCTTTAGTAGGCACGGAAACAAGTGGGTTTAACAACATTTTAGCCAGTGAATAACTGGTTGATGTTGCTTGTCTGTCACTTGAAGTGAGAGAATCTGGTTGTTGTAGACTTTGCTTTGCACTAATTGCTGATAGTAAGTTTACAGTAAGAGTTTACACAAGACTCAAGTGCATCACTTCCTTTGCTCCTGTGCAGATTTATAGGTACTGAGCTGTCTTATGGGGGAGGTACTTGTATACTCTTCTCGAAGATCATTGCCACCAAATAATGTTTGGGAAGAAAATACTTATTTCTGCATAAACAGCACACTGTATCTGCCATCCACTGCCACAAATAAAGAGGGGCCTTTTAATTAGCCCAGTTGTCAACTTCGTGTTTATTCCAGAATGTTTATTTTAATGTGTGTCCACACAAATAACAATGTAAATGACATTCATTTTTGGATCAGTTGAGGGAAGGTTTTATTATAAATCTGATTTTGTTTCATTTTCTGATTTGATTTTTTTAAAATTTTCTTTTCTTTTCTTTATTTGCAGTGTAATGTACTATCACACAATAAGGTAAATGCCAGCATATTTTAAAATGTTTGATCTTGTTTTTGGATTCCAGCCCCCCCAAAAGAAGAGAAGCAGAGCGAAAAGGAGCAGAAAGAGAAGGAACCAGTCCCGGCACCTGAGAAACCTTCGTCAGCAACACCAGTCAAAGGAAACAAGAAGGCCCCGGTCACTAAAGCAGCCAAGGTTTCCCCAAAAGGCAAGAAGCCTTCTCTTCAGACTACCAACTCAAAGGCGTCCAAAAAACCTGCCACACCCCTGAGTAAAACCGCAGCAAAGTCCAAGAAACCAGGCCGGTCACCCGTCCATACCCCGTCTCCCTTCCCTCCAGGTCCGATCCACGTCACGGGAGCGCTGAGAGTCACAAAGTCCAACTTTACCATTCCTAAGAAGCAGCCACAACAAAAGGATGCTCCATCCCACAGTCAGTCCTCCTCATCCTCCAGAGTTCCATCGTCTCCAGTTTCTTCAGCTCCCTCCAGCCACTCCTCTTCCTCCAGACCCCCACATCCAGCTGCTTCAGCGCCCCCTGTGTCCCCCATGCCACCTCCACCCAACAATCAGATGAGACAGAACATCCGTCGCTCGCTGACAGACATCCTCTATAAGAGGTAAGAGTCCGACAGAACCCAGTTGAGAATACTTTTGTTTGTAAAATACAACAAGCACTAATAGTTGCTGTGTTCCTTGACACCAGGGTGAGCGACAGTGATGACCTGAAAATGACTGAGAGTGAGGTGGGAAGGCTGGCAGTTGCCATTGAAAAGGAAATGTTTAACCTCTGCCTTAGCACTGACAGCAAGTACAAGAACAAATACAGGTCCCTCATGTTCAACCTGAAAGACCCTAAAAACAAAGTGAGTCAACATAAACATGCTAATGCTTACATTTACAGCCAAGTTCTATATGTAAAGCTACTTATTGTCCCTCATGTTGAGATGTTAAATATTGTGTGGTATGTTTGTCTCAGGGCTTGTTCTACAGGGTGGTGGGCGGTGAGGTTAGTCCCTTCAGACTGGTGAGACTAAGTGCTGAAGAGTTGCTTTCCAAAGAGATATCTGAGTGGAGGAAGCCCGATGCTCCTGAGGTAAATTCCCTTTAACGAAAACACTGAGTTTGTAATAAAACAGACTGTTCTACAGAATGAAAAATGGCTACATTGTCTATGGTTCTCTCCTGCAGGCCCAGTCTCCCAGTTCAAGGACCCATTCGGGGCAGTCCAAACTGGGCAACAGGCATGACTCTGGCTCACATAGCTTTGATATGGAGGATGCTCCACCAACATCTGATGCAGATGTATGTATCTCTACCACCACTTCATCTACTCGCATGGCCTCTGCTGCAGTAAGTGCTAGCATGCTGTCTTTCTTTAGCTTTCACACTTTTCTTTTCACCTTTGCACGACCTTAGTACACAAACCGTTCAAATCTTGCAAAGTAAAGACCATAGCGAAGATATCGCAGGTTTGTTATCTTGCTAACTGTCCTGTTCTTGAATGCAATTTCTTAATTTCTGAAGCTTTGTCTTTCTTCATAATTACTATGCGTTTAACCTACTTGCACTACCTTGCACAAAATACAGTGTGCATTATAAGAATCCAGAATTGCGGCTGTTATGTAAAGGTTCACCTGTTCCAGTTCACCTAAGATTTGATGAAGATCTTCTTTTCTGTGTCCATAGGACCAAGATGAGTCTAGCTCCGCCCCTTCAGCTTCGGCTCAGCCCTCTGCCGAGGGGAACAGTGGCGGCAGCATGCCAGACATTTTCAGTACCATGCTCAAAGACACCACCTCTGAACACAGGACTCACCTCTTTGACCTCAACTGTAAAATATGCACAGGTAAATGAGAGGCTGATATGAAGTGTCAGGCGTTACATTTATCCAGTGGATTAAACATGATTTATTACACAACAGATAACTTTTCTTCTTTTTTTGCCCTCTAGGTCAGAAGATGGAAGATGAGCCTGTAGCTAAGAAAGCCAAACTGGCCAAGAAGCCAGAAACTAAGCTGCCCAGACAAGAGCTGCATTCTTCTAGGTCAGGGGATGTCTCTCCCGCCGGCCAGCCACTGGTCCCCACTGCTTACCAGCACCAAGACCCCATAGCCTACCAACATGCAATCCCTCCATCCTACCAGTCTAACATGGAGCCAGCTGTCCCAGAATCACAGCCACAGCTTTATCAAGAGGACCTCAATATGCTGGCAGCTCCGGCCCCCGCACCCGTCACACCCACCGTGTCCTCTGTGAGCATCACCCGCAGAGACCCACGCATGGCCAGACACAGCTCCGGTGTGACTGTCACCTACACCGCCCCAGAAAAACCCATCAACAACTCAGCAGAAACAGTCCAAGCTCCTGTTAGTGCTCCAGTGGAGGTCGGACCCAAGGCGCCGCTGCCGATGCCACCAGCTCCACCACCTTCAGTAGCTGTGTCCAAAACAACGAAAACAAGGTGCTCAATGTGGTTCCATATATTATCTCTTCCCGTTATAGCTGGGTTTTGTAGCATACTAAGAATTGTTAGTAATATATTTGGTATATTGTGTGCTAAAATTGCATGAGAATTAATGTAACATTTTTAAACAGGTGATACTACAGTAGAGTATGTTCTATTCTTTAAGAATAGCCCTGTATATGATGAACTGTGTATGAGAATGAGACTTGGGTTTTGATCTAAAAGGGAGATGGTTTTGGTTTTACAGTACCTCTGAGCCCCCTCTTGAGGGTGAGACAGCAATCTTCCTCCACGGCCAAGAGAAGATTTGGAAAGGGATTATCAACATGCAGTCGGTGGCTAAGTTTGTGACCAAGGCTTATCTGGTGTCAGGATCCTTTGAACACCTGAAGGAGGTTAGTCATTTTGCAGGCTCAAACTTGCAAACTTCCGTAACTATTGAATGCAAAACTTTTGGGCACACACTTAATCAAAAGCATCATACTTAGTTTTGTCAATGTTATGCAGGATTTGCCAGACACCATTCATGTTGGAGGACGCATATCTCCAAACACAGTGTGGGACTATGTTGGGAAACTGAAAACCTCACTCTCCAAGGTTTGTTTGAAAGAAAAATAAATTGTATGAAAGTGCATGACATCTTTATTTAAAATGACCTCATTTGCATACTTTCTTTTTTTGTCTGTGTTTGCAGGAACTGTGTCTGATCCGTTTCCACCCAGCCACAGAGGAAGAGGAGGTGGCATATGTCTCTCTTTTCTCTTACTTTAGCAGCAGGAAAAGATTTGGTGTGGTGGCTAACAACAACCGTCGCATTAAAGACCTCTATCTCATCCCACTGGGCTCAAAGGATCCATTACCCTCCAAACTCTTACCGTTTGATGGGCCAGGTAAGGATTTAAAGGGATACATCAATATACCTTTGTGGTGACATGAATCTAAAAGTATTTATTTTAATATTTTAGCTGTTAAATTATGTTGTTTTTGTGTCTTCGTCCTGTGGTGAGTATAGTATATAGTGTCAACTTTGTTTTTGAACCCAGGTTGAAATGAGAGCTTTTATTCATGGTACTATTTGTACTGTAGGGGGCACTGACACTCCTTGTTGAGTCTCCCACAGAAGAGTCCTCTATGCATGTCCGTGTTGTCTGCTGTGTATCTGACTTTGTATCACACATTTCTAATAAAGGAAGTTTGCATCGCAGGTTGGTGCTATTTGAGTCCAGTTTCAGCCTTTTGTTTTTTAAGACTTGGCTCATACATAAATACATACATAATTGAACAACGGTGTAATTAATTAATCGCTGTAAGGTAACTTGTCCATTATTTTAAACCTTACTGGTGTTCATGTGATAATATGCTGCAACACTGGAATAAACGTTCTCAAAATGTTCTTAACATGCACTCTTTAATGAAGAACCAGCACTTGTTCTAAACCTTCAACCATTGATTATACAACACTTTTAACAATACCTACATGGCTATTGCTGCTGTGGTAAGTACACAGATTGTCCATTTCTGAGGATGTCAAACATCAGTAGATCTACTCCTGCACATTGTGCGTCAGAAGGAGATTATTGGACGTTTTTTTCTTAATTACATAAGGAGATTCAGAAGAAATAGCACAATTTCAGAACTTGTCTGATGTTTTTGTGACTACGCTGGTTAAGATCCCAAATCAAATTTCTGTGAATTAAACAATAATATAGATCTCTATCTGTTGTAGTCTGTCTTGCAATTGTGTTTTGGCCATTTACAGGTACAGTCCAGATTTTAGTAAATAATTTTTTCAGTGGTTGGTTGCTTATATCTGGCAGTACATCTATATGTCACTGACAACAAATGTTTCTCTGTAGCTGGCATTTACTAATGTCGGCATGTTTATTACTCATGTTTTTGAATTCATCATTACATTTATTGTCTACTGACTATTTGCCGTACTGTAGACATGGAAACGTGCATCATATCACTACCTTTGTTGTATTAAAGGATATGTTTTGGAGTTAGGAGAACTTTGCTTTTATATCTGATAGCATCTTTTGGGCTTCTGGTTCTTTCTGTATGTATCATGGACATTTTTAAAGGCTCTCATTTCACCTGTGTTTTTGTTTCTTTATTACAAAAGTCAGAAATGCTTTATCAAACCTTTTGTAGCATCATATAAATAATGGCAGTCTGTTTTGTGACATTGTATCTGCTAGCTATCTGCATGCAAATCTTTTCTGAGACTCTTGTTTTGTCCTTCTTGCAGGGCTTGAACCAGCTCGTCCAAACCTCCTCTTGGGCCTCCTGATCTGCCAGAAGGACAGAAAGCGAGCTGGTGCACCACTGGAAACTGAAGAAAAACGATCCAAGACTCAGACCAAAGATGCAGATGACAGTGGTCTTCCAAAGCAGTCTCCTTCATTTAGAGCAGAAAGAAGCTCACGACAGAGTCTTGAAATCCCCTTCAGCACAACTCCTCCAGGGTCACCTCCACTCAGCTCCTCTGAGACCTCAAGCAGCACTGTGACCACCTCCTCAGTCCTTTCTTTCTTATCTTCTGTCAAAGCTCCAGCCACATCCACTACCACTGGCAAGGACTCCCCATCTTCTTCCAGCTCTGTTGCTTCCTCTGCAGCAACTGCCACTCCTCTTCAGACCATCCTTAATACTCTTTTTGGGAAGAAAAAGGACTCAGAGGCTTCCAACTCTCCGTCTGATCAGGGTGGGGAACTCTCCGTCCCGGCTGCTACAATGCTAGACCCCATTGTCCGGCAGTTTGCACAGAGTTCTAAAGAAAAACAGGTGGAGGAGGATGAAGATGACCGACCGTACGATCCGGAAGAAGAGTATGACCCCAGTAGGGGCTACAATGTGCCTAAGAAGCCTGTTAAAGTAGTAAGCAAGCCAGAAACCTCTAAGCAACCTGAGGTGGTTGCGAATGAAGGTGATGATGTGGCGTATGACCCAGAGGATGACTCCATTTTTGAGGACGTCAGAACTTCAGCACCAGGTCAAGCTAAGGCTGTTATAGAGTCTATAGCAGATCCACAAAAGATCTTGGAGAGCCTTAAACAGATTGGGGATAAGACATTCCAGAAACAGGGAGAGCAGCAAATCTCATCCACAGTTACACCTGGTGCCTCATTGACACTTCCAGACACACTCTTAACTCAACCTACCAAATCCCTTTTGGCCAATAATCAACTACTGCAGCTTGGCAAAAAGGTTGAGGAACTAGTGAAGTCTTCATCGGTTGCTCCCTTGATCAACCAGAGGAGAGATCCCCGACAGAGCAGGGATCCTCGCCAGGCTACAGCTGGCAGGAAATCAACTGATGAACCCGAGGAGAAAGAGGAGATATCTGCTCTGTTGCCAGATTCCACTCCTTCACAACCTGCGGTTCAAGAGCCTCAGCTGTCTAATGTTGCGGAGCTCCCAGACTCCTCACAAGGCCCAGAGACATCAGTGCCTCAAGAGGAAGTAAAAAGCGAGATGCTACCCTTCATGGAGCCAGACAAGGTGGAGGTGTCAATTCCATTGTTAGGAGAGGAAATGGAACCTGATATGGAGGTGAACTACATGGATGAGGATGAAGTGAAAACTGAGGAAGCTGAGCCAATCAAGGCGGAAACAGAGATGGACAAGTACAGTATTTGGCCAAATGCTGCCAGTATTTTAAAAGTGGGCGAGGACTCAGAGTATGAGGAGAATAGTCAAGATACACCAACCCAAAGTTATTATAATGAGCCTGCAAACACCTCCACAATTACCTCTACAATCCCAGTACTCACTCAGAGCACAGCAATGGTTGACACTCAGTCCCATCACATGCCGCATCTCATGTCAGCTTCAGGCTTCAACAACGAGTACAGACCTCCAGCTGACATCCCCCCACCATCCAACTTCCCCCCGCCCCATCCGATGCAGGGACAAAACATGTTACTGAGGCCACCGCCGATGTCTATGCCACCACCCATGCAAGGTCTTCCTCCAATGTCAGGCCCCCCTCCAATGCAGGGACCTCCTCCACCCATGCATGTTCCTCCCCCTGTACGTGGTCCTCCCCCCATGCAGGCTGACAGCAGCCAGCAATATGGCCCACCGCCGGCTGCATACCCTCCCTATCAGAACCAGTGGCCAGGCACCCAGCCACCCCCACAGCAGCAGCCTCCTCCTGGACAACTTCCTCAGAATATTCTGCCACCTAGAGGACCACCACCACCATTCCCTCCAATGGCCCAGAGAGGCCCTGCTCCTCAAATGTTTGATCCCTCCATTCCCCCTCAGCATATTGGACAGCAAGGTCCCCCTCCAGGCCTTCCCCCACCTCCTGCTTTTGATGGACAGAACAGTTTACCTCCACCAAGATTCACTGGTCCTCCACCACCATTTAATTTCCCTGCAAACAGAGGTCCTCCTCCACCGTTCTCGGGGCCGCCTCTCGCTCACTTTGATAACAGACTCCCTCCTCCGTCCCACTTCCCAGGGCCAAGGGGTCCCCCGCCATCTCAGTATGGTGACCATGGGGCGCAACCACCGATGGTAGACCAACCTCGAGGCCCTGCAGAACAGTATAACAAAGACAATTCTAACTCTTTTAAGCTAAATTTGGACCAGAATCCAAACTCTCTGCGTGTTTTTAAAGACAATCAGGGTCCCCTGCCAGGTCCAGCATACCGGGGACCTCCACCTAACCAGTACGAGGACAGAAGAGGCCCACCTTCCAGTGGCGAAACGAGTGGACAGCACTTCAGTCCACATAATCAGTATGGGAGCTCCAGACCACACTCCTCGCCACCGCATCGAGGATCATTTGATGAGCACAGAGGTCCTCCCCCTCATGAGAATAGACCCCACCCGTCTCAGCGTTTTGGAGGATCAGAGCGGTACCGCTTGGATAGGCACTCTGATGAGGCCAGACCTGTTCGCCACAGTGGGCCACTATTGCCGACTCCCCCAGAGGCTCCCTTAGGTCCCCCAGGTCGCATGGGAGCCCACAGTCCAGACCTGCACAGGGACGACCACTGGCACCGCCACTCTCCTGAAATGAGGAGGCGGACCAGCACCGCCCGAGATGACTCAGAACCCAGCAGCGGAGACCGCTTCAGTCGCTTTGAAGGAGGACACAGAGAACCTGCCACTGTTCCCTCACAACCCTCCGAAGAGAGACCAAGGGGTCTGTCCGAGGACCGCCGAAGGGAAAGAGAGCGGGATGTCCCCCACACTGCCAGGCTGTCATGGGACAGGGGCCAGGGCAAGCGGTGGAGCAGAGAGCGAGAGTGGGATAGAGGTAGAGAAAGGGACCGTGATCAGGAGCGTACCCGAGAAAGAGAGCGCAGCAGAGGGAGGGAGGGTGAGAGGCACAGGGAGACGGAGGGAGAGCGACACAGGGATCAAGACACGGACAAGAGGAGAGACCGGGAGAGAGACAGGGAAAGAGAGAGACCCAGGGATTCTGACAGGAGAGACCACGACCGCGACAGGGGGAGAAACCGTGACCGGGACCGGGAACGTGAGCGAGAACGCGACCGTGAGCGAGAGCGAGAGCGAGACAGAAGACGGGACAGATCCCGAAGCAGGGAGCGTGACCGTGACCGGGACAGGGACCGTGGGAAAGACCGGGGCAGGGACAGAGATAGAGACAGGGAGAGAGAGAGAGAAAGAGACAGGGACAAAGACAAAGACAAAGACAGGGATCGTCGAGACAGGAGCAGAAGCAGAGAAAAGCGAGAGGAGAAAAAGGACAGTAAACATGATAACCCCAAGGAGAGTGACAAAAGTGCAGAACATGACAAGAATATGTCCTAGTATCTGTGTTATGGACACTACATCACTGTTTTGAGAGACATTTAAATCTTTCACCAGTTGAAGTCATCACTGTAAATGTAGATAAACAGTATTTTGTTAAATTTCCACAGTTGTGTTCCTACTATAAAAAAGTTTGACAATGTTTGTATTCTTTTTGTCACTTAAAGGTTTCTAAGTTTGTTTTATCACATTTGACTAACAAAACCCTGAAGGCCATCTAAGTTGCTTGTGTAAAAGATGTATTAGGTAGGCTACTGAGTCCTATTACATGTACCTTCCTCCTGTAAAAGCATTTTTTAAAGAAAACAATAATGTAAGTGATTAACATACCATTTGCAATATGTAAATATGAATGTATTTCTGTATATACTGATGTTTTTAATCATACTTTTCTAAGTAGAGAAATTAAAAGCCATATATCTGAGATGGATAATGTGAAAGTTAAAGCATCACTGTTTACACACAAATGTGTGTTTATATGTCCAGCAGGTTTGAACTTAAAGGCTCCAACTATCTACAGTATACACCCCATCGATGGTTGTTGATGAAATGTCCTGATTTTCTTTCAGCTCAACCAATTAAACCCGTTTGATGACGTGTTTGTCTCTCTTGTTGTAAATAGTTGTTTTCTGGGTGAAATATGAATTAAGTCTTGGTCCCAACATAATGTGACATTGCTTAGCGATTGTTTTTACATTGTGGTTCAATAATACACCATTCACAGTACTGAGAGTAGAATCTACTTCTGTTTTCAATGATGATCCAGCCTTAAATGCATCCCTTCCACTACAGAACCAGTATTTGATATGTGTGATGAATGAATGATATTATACAGATCTAAATAAATGCAACAGTGAAACATTGAGGATCATGTAAGGCATTTAGGTACATTTTATTATTTCTCTGTAAAACAACCAGATACAAACAAGAAAACACAAGTAAGGTCACAGTCCAAACTGTTAAACAATTACAGTGCTTCATTTTTCAACACCAGTCAACACCATAACCTTTTCTGTATAAAACATTTTCATCCATGTGTTTGTGAAAGTTAAAGAATAAAACAAGAATATAAAGTCCAGGAATAAAACTGTATACTAAAAGCCACAAACGCATTTGCATGAATAACAATACTTTTTGATTCAGTGTATAAAGCCCAATAAATGTTAATGAACTATTGAGGAAAGTTCCCTGTGAAAATCATGTGCAGTATGTGAAGAATATGCCTCTTCGTCACTAGATAATTTATCATTGCCGCCCCCGTCTTCTGTCTTTGACCCTGTGTGACATTCTCTTCAGGGCTGTATATTTTATCTGCATTACATTAGCAGATGTAAATTAGCCCTATATTACAGTTATTTGTGCTTTGTGATAACCTCCTCTGCTAACTGCTGCTGAAGGCAAATCTAATATAACTTAGTCTATGGCGGCAGACACATCAGGTTTTCAGGGTCTACTACCAGATATCAGACACGCCATGTCTTGAATCCAGACTACATATTGATTCTAAGCAGGCTTTTAGAATGGAGTGTATTCACACTAGAAAAGTAACAAAATGAAGTATACCCAAAGCACACAGTATGCATACTAAATGTGGCTCATCTTTGAGTGTGCTGTTGATGCACATTAGTCCTTCTCAATGCAACGCACAAAAGAATTGGAGGAGCTACTCACTGCTGCTAAAAATGTAAGTACATTGTGGGTGGTGGTGAAATAGCTCCAACAAATCTCAGAAAGGTATAACATTTTAGAAAAAATTATGACTTTGATGTCAAGTTTAATTGGCAGTGACAGTCCACCGTCTCACATATTAAATCATTTCTTCTTTTTGAATCTATGATGGTTAGTGTAAAGTGTATAGAATGAGTATGTAGAATGGATTTGGGGCACATTCTGCTTTTGGCTGCTTCATGTACCACCTCTTTGGCTTAATCACCACTGTTCAGCCTCAGAATCTTGATTCTTGGCTAAGCCTAGACCAAATCGTCTGAATTTTCCTTGGGCACCATACAAACTCATCTTTACGGTCATAGTTCAAATAGGCAAACTTGATGAGATGTCTGCGCTGCTTCTTATCAAGGACAGCAAACAAAAAGTAGTTGAGAACACTGTCCTTTATATTTGGGAGTAGTCCGTGGACGAGAGTCTCCTCCAGGAAGAAGCGGACCAGGGGGGCTTGGTAGTGGGGGAACCCCAGATTTCCATGGCACTTCAGGATGCGGGTGATGCGCAGGCTGTTATGTGTGTGGCTGTTAATGAAAAACAGCAAAATGACCAAAGATGAACAGATTATCTAGTAGGTTCTGTTACTTTTAGCGAACAATATGTTTGAATAAAATCAAAGCTCACTTATTAAGGTTGTTGTATCTTTCTTTCCAGTTTGGTGCTCTCCGGACTTCTCCTGTTACCTCATTACACAACTCGATACCATAGAAGCCCAACATGAGCTTGTACGACTTCAACAGATTTTCCTGTGCAGTCGGGCTTTGAAGAAAACCCTAAAGCAAAGACAAAAATTCAATCAGAATTTGTGAAACACTTTCTTTTAAAAATATTAACTTTGTAGCTTTTAGGACCTTAATTTCTTCTTTTGTCAATGGTGTGGCCTCATAGTTCACCCCTGGTTCTTGGAGTGGGAACAACCTTTGAGAGAAAAATGTTACTACAAATTGTAGAAACAGGAAGTGACTGTTTTACATTACATCTGTGATTATAGAGTAACTTACCACTGAATGTAGGTGTGTACATACTCCAGCGAAGCATAGTCTTTAGACCACTCATTGTGGAAAGCATCTATGTAGATACCTGATAACAAATAAGAGTAGAAGTAAATTAATATCTAAATAGATGTAGATAAGATTGATCCAGTAGTTCCCAGCCTGGTGGGTGGACCAGATGTTTCTGCAACACCAATGTTTCTATAGTCATTGCTGTTCTCTGGTTAAATAAACTGCTTTACTGCTTCAGGACAAAAGTTATTCAAATGAAACTATGTGAGGCGGGAAAATCAATCTGGTCAACCTTCTCAAAAGGTTGTGGACCACTGATTTAATCCCGTTCTTGATTAAGAACATTATTTTTGTCTGATGTATATTTAGATTTGGACTGCAATTAAACTGATTTGACAAATTAAAGGTCCAGTGTGAAACATTTAGGAGGATCTGTTATCAGAAATTGAATATAATAATCATAGGTATGTTTTCATTAGTGTATAATCACCTGGATATAAGAACTGTTGTGCTTTTGTTACCTTAGAATGAGCTGTTTTTATCTACAAACACCACGGATCGCCTTCTATGGAGTCGGCCATGTTGAACCATGAATGTTTCTATAGGCAGTAGTCTATAGATAGTTTTCTATAAACAAACCAAACACACTCGTGTTTTCCGCAGCCACTGTAGTTTCTCCTTCACGCTCAGAAGAGGAGGGGGAAGTGAGGGAGCTGTGATGTGATGTGTGATGGTGGTACTGTTGGGTCTCTGTAAATGTTAAAAGGAGTTCGGTCTAGACCTGCTCTATTTGAAAAGTGTCCTGAGATAACTTCTGTTATGAACTTGGCATAGATACAATACTAAAATTGAATTGAATTGAATTGATGTGCAATAACACCACCAGATGCCACTAAATCCTACACACTGGACCTTTAAATCACAATACAGAGCTTGTTTATGTGCATGGACTTCACAGTGGGCTTGTGACTGTAGGCCTACCGTCTGGTTCAGAGGGCTTCTCTCCGAGGTAGAAGTTCAAGTTAGGCTTGTCATCCTACTCAACAGAAGAACACTGCAGTTAGACACGTATTTATTTTTTATATAAAGCAAAAGTCACATAATACATCATATTAACACACATTCATTGTGTGTGTACTTACAGATCTTTGCATTTTCCAGCCATACTGCATGTTCTGGGACTGTGGGGAGATACAAAAGAACAATGCGTGCATGGCTTACACTTAAACATGGGACAGTGCATGTTTGCAGTGTGTACTGTGGCTATGCATGTGTGTGTGTGTGTGTGTGTGTGTGTGTGTGTGTGTGTCACTTACAGGGTAGTCATGCCTGTAGTTCTGCATGTCTATTGCGGCAGTTTCAAATTTGCTGAACTTGTACTGGTGAGCAGAAAATAAAGGCAGGTCAGTTTAAACATTTCAAACTTTATGGGTTGGAAAAAAATCTCCTACATCGTAAACTAAATAAACTCTCACATTTAAACATCTACAGCAGTAAAATGCAACATACACATTAATGCAGCTGTCATATTAATCCAAAAACATAACCGTAAAGTTTAATTTTACTGACTACTTTCACTACTTTAATTCTGATATATAATGAATGCTTTTACTTAAGAAGGTCAACGGTTTTGAATGCCGTATACTATATATGTATAAGTATTCCTATAACGCTGCAAGTTATTTATGGTAGGCCTAACAACAAACACATCGCAGTGTGATTATAGTAGTACTCTGCCAAGTCACCCTGGCCCAAAAACCAGTCTTTAAATTGCAGTAGTGATTCCCCACATACAATATAAGTCACACTTCCTGCAGGCCTAAAGTGAAAGCAGAGAAGAGTACATGCAGCAGGCCCGGGTCCACTCACGTATCTGGACCTTGCTGATCTCCTGGACCTTGTTCTTTGCCGAACCTCCTCAGTCTCCTCTGTCTCCCAGGTTGAATCATAGTCACAGTACAACTCATCTGTGTTGTTAACCCGATACTGCTCGTTGTCAAACTCCTCTTCATCTTCACACTCCCCTGACACTGGCAGCTCTCTGTTGGAGGCGGCGGCCCTCTCCCCAACCGCTGCCTCACGTTGACCCTCAAAGTCGGAGCCTTCGATCCACGATTTGGGGGAACATTTCGCCGGAAGTTCGTCCTCGTCGTCGCTTATTTCAACCGGTCCGGGCTCAAACGGGCCTCTTGTCTCGGTTTCCTTTGGCCAGCCTATCGCTCTTGATACAGCTCTGGCTATTAGGCAGACCCTTTTTACAGTAAAGCGCCATATGATACCTGCTATGCGCCATAACCTCTCTAACACTGGAGACAGAAGGGCAAGGAAGCCCATCACAAACTGTATGAAGCGACACAGCACTGACACAACCTTCATCTGGGACCAACGACCACTACATGGAGTCTGTTTCACTTTCACTCTCTCTGGAGTTGTCTTTACGGAAAATAGAAACTTATTCAGCAACCAACGCCCACAGGCTCACTTCGCTCGGTCATGATTTGAGCTGAACCATAATGGCTGCTCACTGTGAGATTGAGGTTAAAACTCATACAAACAACACATTTGTTGAGTTGTTACCTCGGGAACAAATGCGGAACTAACTGCTAGTGAACCACATTGTATGGAGGGAAAAAAACGGCTTAGGGGAGGGAGTAATGGATTACATGTAACGGAGTTATGTGATCAGGATACAAAAAAGAGAAGAGCAATCCAGTTACAGTTAGTAAAAATGAGGATTATCAAAAGTATTACTAGTGTAACTATCAGGCTTGAGGAGTAATGGATTACATGTAGCCTAACTAACATGTTATCAGTATATCATTTCTTTTTTCTGTTTCCCTTTTCTTTTTTTAAGGTTAAATTTTTCTGCTGTCTTATAGAATACACTTACATCAGTACTTCTTATTAGGGATGCACAATAGTTATTGGCACATATTAGCGTCCGACAATGGGAAATTATTATGAAGTAAACAGCCAATAAATTACCAGTCCATAATAATAATAATAATTTTTATATTATGCAAAATGATTGAAAGCCAAACGAAAAAAATACATGAGCACTGTGATATTAGTTAGATTTGATTAGAACTGAGCTAAGAAGAAAGAAGATATACTTTATTAATCCCTATAGGATAAATTGTTCTTTTCACTCTTTTTATACACAGGCTGAAACACACTTCAATGCACTTGTGGAATGCAACAGGGAAAGAGATGGTGGAGTGATGCGGCTGCTGTTGTTTTTCTTGGGGTTGGGGTTCCTTGCTCAAGGGAACCTTCGGCAGTGGCAGAGGAGGTGAAACTGGCACCTCTCTCCAGCTACCAGTCCACACTGGGGACTTGAACTGGCGACCCTCTGGTTCCCAAGTCAAGTCCCTACACACTAAGCTACTGCTATATATATTTATATATGTACCTTCACCCTTCACTTTTCAACCAAATGTATTTCAGATTGTATTTGCGTGTCAGCAAAGTCTGAATGCCTTTTATTAATTGTCTCTGTTTGGCTTATGCAACAGTTATGTATTTTCAGACCTTTGGTTTGTAGGTTAGTGATTATCATTTACTTTAATATAAGTATTAAACTGCAGGGAATCTGACCTGTTTCGGGCTAATATTTCAGTGTGAAACTGTCCTGTTACATTATCCATTCGAAACAGTTCCCAGATCAGATAGAAACTCATCATTTCAAGATTATTAACAATATAATCTGTGTACCATATCAAGATATTTTATAAAGTTCTATTTGAATTATTATTTTTTATTTATTTATATGCCTTTTTTCTATCCAATTTACGTATTTGGTACTCAAAATGTGGGCATCAAAGCCGATTCGGAGGATGAAAATTACCCCAGTGCCAAAATATAGACAGATTTTTATTTTAACTCTGTCATCTTGTACACAAAATGACACAATGACTGCAATTTCAAAATACAAAGACTGTAGTCAGCTGCAATTTACTGTCATTTGAGAAAACAATGATCCAAAAAAACAACATTTTTTCTGTCATCCTCACACCAGGTGCCTTACCCTGAATGAGGCACCTCTCCCTGAAGGTGACGTTGTAGAGGAATTAAAGACGACGTCCCTGCCCTTTTGGCTAATAAGGCTCAAAGGACTGTTCACATTAGCTGTAAAGTTCAAGCCTGTTTCTCTCTGTGACACTGATGACTTGTCACCAAAGAGACATTAGCCTGCCAGTTCATATGAAGCATTTTTTAATTAAAGGCCTAAAAACAATTTTTTGTTTTTATGACAAAAATACACTTTGTCTCTGCACCATATGATAACCATAACGACTGTCTTTATTTCCACCCGCTGTTATCAGTGTAAAGATAGCATCATGTTTGCATCCCTCTCCTCGTTTTCTATGGGGACGCCACTTGGACGAATGAGTCTCTCAACTCCAGTCAGTGGACATCCTGCTCTTAATGTCTTCCTGTGAAAGATAAAGGGATGCATGCACCGTCCTGTAGAACAGAGAGATATGAGATCAGTACAATAGATACTAGCATCATTACTTCATTGCTGGAGAGTTGTTAAACCACAGGATCCTTATTTAAAAAAGTCACCTGTCCTTTACTGTGGGTGCACAATATGCTACTGAACTGACGTGTCTATTTGTGACTTTCTAAACTTCTTCTGAGGGTTATTTGTTTCCACCATAGAATGAGAAATTTACATAAGGAATTGATGTTGAATAACACTGATGTAAGCACTGTGTGCTCTCATTGAGTGGACTCTGGCGACACTATTATCTCTCAGGGACTCCTTTCAAAAGGACATAATTGCTCTCACTGCCAGTGGAGAAAATCAAGACGTGTCCGCATGCTACACAGTTAACATCTGCTCAGCAATGGATTCATTTGTGCTTACTAAAGCGGGATATGGTCCTGTGCTGTCTCAGGAAGATAAAAACACAGTGTAGAGATAGCCATGTGTTCTATATGGAATGGAGGCAATAAATGTGGATTTTAATGACAGATCTCAGGCTCTTTATGGTCTGGTTTAGTGCATGAATAGGCGCCACAAATTGAAATTCCCTCCTGAAATAGATGGGAACTTCATGCAGAATATGAAACTGAAATAACTTGCAGCATGGAGCTACAGCAGACAGCCTATTTTCTGGCTGCTGTGCTGTGAACCCAATTAGCATGACACTGAGCAAAAAACCCAGCAGATGCCAGTGAAAACCTCAGTGAGGCTCCATGAAGCAGGCCTCTGTGTAGCTGCGCTGATACACACAAATCATCTGTACTGTCTCCCTCTTACTCAGTCTGCGTGTTGGACTTAGTTAATGATGAAGGCTTGCTGGATCACTCAGCGACAAAGTGTGCTTGATAAAGGTCAGCACCGCCACCTGCTAATGCTTCATCGCTCAGTGTAATACTTTAGCCGAGCGTATTGTGAATACTCCGCACATGAACGCTTCACAGGGCAAAATAATCAAGAGAGTAGAGTCTGGAAAAGCCAGCTGTTTCTGCTGTGCTCCTCGGCGGCAGCCACAGACACAACACACACACAGACACTTGTGTATCTCAAACCTCTCCAAACACTGGATCAGTGATTAACAGCTAGGAGGAGTCGGTCTAAAGAAAGTTTGCAGCATAAATAATTCACAAAATGGGAATAAAGTGAGGAAATAACACATTTTATTTTGCTGCAGTGGCAGCCTTGTAAACTAAAAAATCCAGTTTGGAGTGAAGTGCCAGTAAAATCTTTCTAGGCTCTGATATCCAGCCTGCACTATTTTAGTTTTGCTTACTGAAATTCATTATTTACATTTTTCTGCCCTCTCCTTTTTCCAACTCTCCAACTCTCCATGAATACTGACGATCTTCGTGTTGTGAATATCAAGACAGAATACCAAGAATATGATATCAACACTGCACGTGTATGCACACACAAATACTGCGCATCATGAATTACATAGGAGGAGGAAATGGTCATTATTTATATTCATTATTAATTTATGTTACGTTTATTATATATAGGCTAGTTATATATTTTTGATATGAACATACATTTATCAAATCTATTGGTTTGGATGCTTTATAGGCCACATTGTCCATCCGTCCTCATGGTAATGATGCTTTAAGATCCTGTAAAGACATTATAAAACATATAGGCCTACTCTGGTTTGGATAATAGTGTGTGTCTGCAGGGGCGGATCTTGAGAAATATTCGTGGGGGGGGGAGAGGGTGGCATGGGGACTTAAAGGGTTGGCAGAAATAACAATCAATGCAAACTATCATATATATCATGTGATTGTCTTTTTTCATTGAATCGCGTATCAATTAGTCCTAAATGTGGCCGTAATAGATAATTAGGCTATATTATATGTTGCAGTTTTTAACATGTTATTTTAAAAATGTAGGCTATTTCAATTGATGTGTTCAAGACAATTTCACACTAAACTGGAGTAGCAAACCTAGTGCGTTTTCGGAATTTACCGAAATATTCAGGTTTCCATATCACACTTGTGTACATTGTATATTAGACCACGGTCTGCAGTTGTGAAATCTTGCTTACAGGTCTTAAAAAGTTAGATTCAAGGTGATAACAGGGAAACTTTCCCTCTTCATCATCATTTGTGAAAGCTGCCTTCTGGAGTCACTCTGCACAAGAAACAACAACTAAACAGGCTTTGAGTGGAGAGGGACTTCAATGAGTAGATAGAGTGAGCGCAGGTGTGAGTGAGCCTACTTTAAGGGTAAATGAGGCCACGTGAGCACCTTAACATCCTGTGGAAAGTCAAGATGCGGCCAGTTGCTGAGCTAAGGTAACTGCAGACACGCGGGTTTGGTGCCATTTTTCACCTGATGACACGCAACAGGCTTCAATTTCATCACGCAACCTATAGTCTTATGCTGTAATCCTAGCAGGCCAAAGGGGCCTCAGCACATCAAGATGATCCATGCTCCTGTGTGTCCTCTGTGCGTCGGTCCCTCTGAGCAGCAGCAGCACCCTGCCTCCCTCCGCTCCGCTCCGCGCGCAATCCGGAGTTGAGAATGAATACGCAGAACATCAGGACCCTCTGCCTCATCCTCTCCATCGTTTTCTACCTGCTCATAGGAGCCGCCGTCTTTGACGCACTCGAGTCGGACAGTGAGAGTTCAAAGAAAAAGGCGCTGGAGCAGAAGCTGAACGAGCTGAAGAAAAAGTACGGATTCACCGAGGATGACTACAGAGAGATCGAGAGAGTGGTCCTCCAGGCGGAGCCGCACCGCGCCGGGAGGCAGTGGAAGTTCGCCGGCTCTTTTTATTTTGCCATCACTGTTATCACCACAATTGGTAAGTACAAACTTTTAAGATTTCCCCACACATGCTTCTCATCTGAAAAGCACAGAGAAAGCAGCATTTCTTTACTTTATGTGTGAATGTATGTGGAGATCTTTATGGTTTAAAGGTGGAGCCCTGTTGTAAAGCCCCAAACTGGAGGGGCCACTTTGTATTGAAACAGGTAAATCTTGACAGGGCTGCTAGTATTGAGAACATGCACATAGTGAGTGATTTTGAAATGGGAACTGAAGTTTGCTATTGTCATTTACCAGCTTCCCACTGATTAGCACCTTATAAATGACAACTTATATATTCCCTCCAGACATGTATGAAGACATATGTAGACTACAGAGAGTCTGCTTGGAACAATAATGTATGACTTCATACAAAAAAGTGTAATTTCCACATTAAAATCCTTGGAAATACATCTACTCCTTCTAGCTCATTAAAAATACCAGAATCTCTGAATATGCAAACTTTGTTCATTTCTAAAGATTCCCTGCTGCACACAAGATGTCTCCTCCTTCACTGTAAAGTTTAAGTTTCTACATCACACTTGTAGAAGTTGCACACTGAACCAGGACTGACCTCCAAACTATTTGTGGTGTCACAAATCATGCTGGTAGGCTCCTCCCCTTAAAATCAGATGTTCAATAAGCACAGAGAAACTTTACACTTTCAGTAGATGAATGTAAAAACATCCTTCTAGTGTCAAACTCTGCACGGACATCATTCTGCACAGTGAAGATCAAACATCATACTGTAGAGAAAAGAAAGAAACATAAAAACATAAAAGGGACTTTATTAACTGCCACTGTGACACATACAAAGAATTAAAGGGATATTCCACCAAAAATCTATCTCTTGATATGAAACATTTCCCCCTGCAGGGTTGATGTAGGTGAACATAAAAAACACAAGTCAACAAGGCTTAAAGATGGGAATACTCATAGTAACCAGTTTTTACAATAGGCAAAGAATATCAAAATATTAAGACATTTCTGCGTGCAATATAATTCACTTCCATCCATATGCTTATGCATATATGTGTTTTGTTCCAAATATGGCAAAATACACTCCTCCAGTCTTAAACCTCATGCAAGAACCTTTCAAACTTGAGAATAGGCGTATTGTCGCACAATATTTTCCCAAACATGTCAAGGTCCCGAATGAGGATTGAGATTGTAGGCCTATCTAATGTAGGCCTGTTTAGTCATATGAAAATATGACTGAACATAGTCGTCAGCATACAGATAAAGAGCAGAGAGGTACATTATACTGCTGGGGTGAAGGGATTTAGAGCAGTTTCTGTGGACTTTTCTGTGAAAAATGGTCACTGTTAGAATCCATTAAATTCAAGCTGAGTATAGAGAATGAACCTTTTTACAGCTACCTTTGAGCTCTTTAGATACTGACTGCTAGTTTCTCAGGGAGAGCATTTAAATGTTCTTATAAAGGTTTTTTTTGTGTAATACAGGAAAATGTAATTCAGTTGATATGGTGAACTTGTTAGAAAGCAGTTGCTTATTTACACATCCAGCACTTACGGAGCAACATTCATGTAGAGTTGTGTTGGTGTCCACTTGTTGAATGTAAATTCAATATTCACTCTTTAGCTCTGTTTTTTGTCTCTACTAATTCCTGAGGGAAATATCTGACTCTTTAGCTGCTAAATGCTCAACTATGTTTGTTGTGGCTTGTTGCTAACTGTCTGTTGAGTAGGTAGTGTACAGTGGGTTGTTTTTAGAGCTAAAGTGAGCTGTGAGAAAATATTAATTGACCCAATAAAACTGCAGAACCAAAATAAAAACATGGAAACATGGATCAATTTCAAATATGTCAGTGAAGGTGCAGTCCATTTAGATGGTTAACTTATTTAATGAGAGCCAGAAAAACTGACAGGATCAGGACCATTTAGCTCATGAACCATGACAAAAAGAGGATTCCCTCTGCTCTGTTTTTGCTATATCCCTCAGAAGGTCATCTTTCCTGGCCAGTTTTTAAAGATCCTCTGTTTTCACAGTAGCCATTTTAACATGAAATAATAGGGTAATCACCAGTGCTACCAATGATACTTATTAGGGTTCCAATTTCATTCAGTGTAACAGAGCCTTTCCAGTGAGCCAACATGCACAATAGGAGCACCCTGACTCTATTTGACCTGAATGGAACGGAACCTTAATCAGTATCATTGGTAACACCTGTGTTTACCCTACTATTCCATGTCAAAGAGGCTGCTGTGGAAAAGGTCTATAAAGTTCAGTGGAGCCTGTTGGAGATAGAAACCCAGGCTTGAATTAGTCCTTTGTTTGGACCCTAATGGAAGTAAATGGAGTACCGGGCAAATATTTGTACGATGGAAGTATAACCAGAACTTAGCTTTAGGGTGGGAGACGTTACAACTTTTATTCATTTATATTGGATCATGTAGTTTGGTAATTGCTGCTCAACTTCAACCTGAAGAGAAGTCTAATTATCCAGAATGGGTAAAAACAGTGTGTGACACAGTCGTGATCGTGATGACTGTGAATCTTTATAGACATTAAACAGTAGTACTTGACATTATGTGATGTGCTATTTACTGTGACTTTGTAGGTTATGGCCATGCTGCTCCACGCACTGATGCTGGCAAGACCTTCTGTATGTTTTACGCTGTCTTGGGCATTCCTCTGACACTGGTCATGTTCCAGAGCCTGGGCGAGAGGATCAACACTTTTGTCCGCTACCTACTACGGAGAGCCAAGCAAGGGCTGGGCTTACGGAAGACCGAAGTGTCCATGGGGAACATGGTCCTAGTGGGTCTTCTGTCATGCATGAGCACCCTGTGTATTGGAGCTGCAGCCTTTTCCCACTTTGAGGACTGGACTTTCTTCAATGCCTACTACTACTGCTTCATCACGCTCACCACTATTGGATTGGGGGATTACGTGGCCCTGCAAAAGAAAGACACTCTCCAGAAGCGACCCCCCTATGTGGTATTTAGCTTCATGTACATTCTGGTTGGACTGACAGTCATTGGAGCATTTCTTAACCTAGTGGTTCTGAGGTTTCTCACTGTGAGCACTGATGAGCCTGATGTGAGGCCTGAGGCAGGGGGAGAGGAGCTGGGAGCGCAGCCTAAAGACACGCAGGGGGATAGGGAGGTGTCGGAGGCTGAAGCAGAAACTGCTGATGTAGGATATAAAGACAGCGAAGACGGACACAGCAACCTATGCAACCTGAGCCTTCCCATGGAGGCAGGCACCAGCTGTATGAATCTCCTCCCCTCTCCCGCAGAGGAGCGAAGGCATGTTTTATCTGAGCACTCTAAGCTCCCTGAACCCAGCAGACTCAGGGCCCTGTTCTCCTGTATGTGCTGTGGCCTGGACATTTATGACGGTCCCTCTCCGCCTCACCGCGATGAAGGGGGCGGTCACAGCAACCCCGTCTTTTACAACTCCATCTCCTACAGGGTGGACCAGGCCTCGTGCAGCTCTTGCACCGCGTCGTCACAGGCTTCCCCCAGCAGCACGGCTCTCTGTCTGGACAAGAACAATACTCACACCAGGAGGAAGTCATTATAACTCTCTGAATAGTTGACTTATGTCTAAGTGGCCTTTGTTTTGAACCTTTTGAATACCCTACAGAAAACACTCTAATTTTCTGCTTGTTGGAACAAATTACCCTTTGCTCTCCTAGTGTATGAATGTAGCATTACTTCAGATAAAATGTAGCATGTCATACAAATCCTTTACAGTTTATAATGTATTTTTCTACATTAAATATTACTGCTAAAGAAAAATGTGTAAAAACGAAAAAGTATGGAATATATGTAAACCCATCTTTTACACCATTGCTGTACCAATGTACTGTATGTTGTATAAAAGGTATCTACAGGAAGTGTGTGATTAACTAGCAGAAAATGCAACACATACCTGAGAAAGGTGGGGTTATCTGCATTAATATTGTAGGTGTCAGACATTCTGCTGTGTTGTCACCTGTGACCTTCAGTTATTTCCAGTCAGTAGTTATCGGTGTCTTCTAATAGGAATGTACACTCTGTGGCTCTGACTGGTTCCCTAGGTAACATTTCCATCTTCATTGCTTAGTGCAGTGGAAAGCTGGAGACAGACACGTACAGTACAGTGAGCGCTTGTCTGAAGGCAGCATCCAGTCAAAGCTAGGGTACCACCAGTTTATAGAAGTGCAATACTAAATTGTTGGAGTGACCCTTTAAATCTCAGATTTCATTTGTAGTTTTATGTTTAATCTGCCACAAGACATGCAAATCATTGTTGTCTGATCTCAGATCTGTATAACTCATATTTTAACAGGTTTTCTTTTCATTTTCTTTTACAGCCTCACACTTATCTTTTCTGCTTCTCTTTCTGCTTTCACTCAGCAGGGTGGCATAGTGTTGAGAGCAGCACTTTTCTAATTCTTGACCTTAAGTACATCAACCCTGCTGCTTTTTATTGTAGCAAATCATTTACACATTACATTTGAAAAGAAGAACTAGAGGTTTAGGGGCTCTATGTTAACCAGTGGAGCCATATTCATGCACTGCAAACATCTGCCTTGATGAATCCCACTGAGAAAAGACACAGCTCCAAGAATACTGCTCTGTAGCTGAATCAGAAAAAGACATCATCCCAAGATGTCCTCATTTGAAATTACAATTTTTCAATCTCCTCCTGGTAATATTTCAGTACTCTTTGGCTGACTTGTACTCTGACCTCCCTGTGGAGGGTCAACTTGAGGATCACTCAAGTTTTGCATTAGATTATATTATTAACTGGAGCCTAGTGGTAACCTACAGTGACTTGCATTTAAATTCCCCTTGTTCACATTTCTCACACTAGGGGGCAGGATTGGTCTATGTAAAAGTCACTTCTGCAAAGGTAAACACAACTTATATACTCATATTCTCTGTGTGTGTGTGTGTGTGTTAAACCATTCACAGCACTTTACTCCTGCGTGCCATCATTGTTGTAGATGGAATTAAAGCATGACAGTAAGGATTTGTTTTCATCCGACAGCATGAACTATGACACATATTACGTCTGTGGGAATAGGTGTTCGGTATACTTGATAAGGGAGCACAGGCTTCTCAGCCAAGCGTACAAACATGGCTCAGCTTCCAGCATTATCAACATGATCAACAAGATGTTTGTGAAACAACAGAAAGGAAAGGTCTGAACAATGAGCATCATTTCTGCGTGGAATAAAGATTACTGTTTTGTGAGTGATGAAACCTGGTATATAATTTGCATAATTACTCCATTAATATTGCAGATGGTGCTTCACTTTATTCTGTTACGATGCCTCAGATGCCTCCTCTTATCTTCTCCAATACTGAGCCTAAAAGTAGCCTATTGAGAACTATCTACACAGACCACCGATCTAATACCACAACACAGAAGAGGCAAATGACAGTATAAAAAGAGTTGGAAATGCAGAATGAGTTGCTTTACTCCAAAACAAAGGCCTCTGCATGACGATTTTCTGCTGTTATATTATCTCATGCATGACGCTAGAGAAAAGCGGTAGCCAGGCTGAACTTTTTTCAAGCTTCTTGTGTGGCTCAGTGAGTGGAAATCCATTTAGCAGTTTCCTATGAGGATGATAAGAGAGGTAATGTTATATTTTATGTTTATATAATGGATGTTATTATATGCTGTGAGCTGCAGGTGGTGGTAGTGATCTTCTTAAAACGCCCACATTCTGAATGCAGATCCCTTCGTGTGTGTCCAATCTCCATGCACACACTCAAGCATGCTCGCTGATATGCACATCTGTTCACGTTTATGAAAATGCATTTCTAGGTGAAGTCCAGTCATTTTGCAATTACAGGTTGTTTTTTATGATGAATATCCACGCAGGTTCCTTAAAAACCCCTGCTGAGGTTACTGAACATTACACTTAGCTCTGCTGGAGAGAAAAGGACTGCAAATCTATAAACCTTTAATTCAAAATGTTAATACCCACACAACAATGCTTTAGTTTGTTGAAAAACAACAACAATTACCTTCAATTTACCTCACTACTCATCGATAACAGTGTTGAATCAAAGCAATGCACTCACACCAATCCTCTGCTGTACCATAGTTGTTCCAGGCCGAGAAAGTGGGTGAATAATTGATTATATTGTTAGATATTTCTCTTTGTGAACGCACCCTGTTAAGTCATTACCGTCCCGTGTTGAAGGGTCTTTCATGTGCAGTCGCACTGGTAGAGGATACCAGATTAAATCGGAAACGAGCCGTCGGTTCAAGCAGAGTGCAGCTCTTCCCTTTCTAAAGGGTAAATAGCTTGCTGTGGCAGAAATATGGATGGGAGGTTCATAATAGAAGCTGCATGCAAATACAGTATTTATGAATGTTCAAATAAACTGAACCAATAGCTGTTGCCATGTTTTGATTATGGAGAAATATGTTTGCCTGTGTACACTGTATTCACAGTCTTTCAGGAGGAGCTCAGAGATTACGAGTTATTTTCTTGGACGTGCATCAGAAAGCAAAAGCACATTCTCTGTGGCTCAAAGTGAACACAATGAAAGATTAAGGAACTAAAAACAAGTGTCATATTTATTCAGATTGATTAAATAAGTAGAAATTAGGATTCAGTTGGAGAGCATTGAGAAAACAGATATTAATAGAAGTTCATTGGTGGGGTAATTGCTCATTAGTTTTAATTTCCAACCAATTTGCTGCTTGTGTCGAACAGTTTGAAAAGGCTGTTTTTACTCTGTGGTTGTCTCCTCCAATCAGACTGTGTTTGACATACTGTGTCTCTTTGAAATTTTGTGTCAAAGATATCACCCTGCTTGATTAATTGCAGTTTAAATTAAGTCTTAAAGGAGAGTTTGAATCACCCCTTAATCAATGGGCCTACATCTGTGCAATAATGACATCCAAATTTGATAACAGTAATCTGGCAATAAAGTAAAATGAATAATACCACTCTCTATGGTTGCACTTAATGTCCATATCACCTCTGAGCTAGTAGACCTGAGCCCTAAAGTAACCACATTAGCGTGCTTTGAGTGTTTGACTTTTACTGGTCAAACATAACCCTCGTCTTTCCATTTTAGTGCAAACTGTCCGACTGAATTTATGTCCTACTGCAATAGAGGCCACGGTGTTTTCACAGGTATGTTTGTCAAACTATCCTCTAAGGATGGCAATGCCAGTTGGTCCGTCCAGTCCCTCACACCTTTTTAAACTTCTAAATTGCGTGCAGTGCATAGACTAATCCTTCCTGTTAACTGTGGATTTGGGACATGCAGGAAAGGAAGTCAGGTCATCTTCATCATCATGGTAATGTTGTGAAATTATCACAGTTTGGTTAGGTGTAGGGACAAAAACTCTACTTCGTTACGACATAACTTAAATATGTTACATAAATTACCTATGAAAGTTGGATTGATTGTAATGGATGTTAATGGTCCCCAGAAGACAAGAGATGGCATTCTCTTAAAATGCAGTTAACAATAGTGTAATACTGTCCGACATTAATACAGCAGAATACAGTTCAGATTTCACTGTAAATTTACATCAAAGGTTTACAGTGTTTCTGATACTATGACCAAATACCTTCAAAACTAATTCTCAGTTTAGCACAAAATGTAAGCATGCAAACAAGAATGAGGAATTGGAGGTAAATGGTGTATAAGGTATGACAGTACTAACTTATAAAGCAGCATGAAAGAACCGTAGCCTTTGAGGCAAATCATTTGCAGTGATTCAGTCTGTTGTGTGAGGCAGAGGATGTAAAATTATCAAGGTTGGCTGTTATCCATTTCCTCCTCAGCTGTACCATTTAACAAGACAACAGCTTCTCAGAGCACACAGCTTCCTGTCTAAACAGTAGCTCGGAGATGGAGTGAGAGATGTGAGGAAGAGAGAGAGAGGAGGAGGAGGTGGTGGTGGTGGTGGTGAAGTTCTTATTCTCCTTGGCCAGTATATCTGCGGCCATGAAGCAAGGCCATGGCCAGTGGCAGATTAATGTCTGTGTGAAAGTTTCTTCATTGGGTCTGAGTGCCCCTCTGTTAGAGGACAGGTTGTAAAGAGTGACGATGTAAGGAGTGAGGTTGGACTAAAGTCAAAAGCTTATCATGAAAGTTAAGGTGCAGAAGAGTCTCAGCGATGTAGAACAACATACTGTAGAGACTGAGTTTGAAGAGATACGTCACTGAGAGATGAGGACATTTGTCTATTCTGCACAATCTGTGGCTGGTAGCCGCACTGTGTCATACAGGTCATACTTATCTCCTGTCCAGCAGCGCCATATTTTTCTCATTATGTTTAGCCCTACATAGGACTTGCACAAATGTGTTTCCTTCTGTAAGTATGACTGATTCAGAAGTTGCTGTCGGGGCACAATTTGAATGAGGGAGATAAGGCCACAGAGAAAAATGCAACACAATGGCCCTCAGTCGGGTTGGATAACAAATGCATCCTTTTATTTATTTTTAGATGCACTGTGCAGGGAAGAGAGGAAAAGAGGACCCTCATAAAGAATAGTCCCCGTTGGAGATATGAAACCCAATTTATTCATGGTTCTTCAGTTTGGAACTGTAAAAGATTGACAGCAGAGTGATTTGCCACATCTGTTAATCTTCCTAAATGAGCAAGTAGTCAGATCTTTGCTACGGCCCCTGCACTAAATAATTCACAATACTGCACTTCAGTTTTATTCCATTTTTATCTTTTTCCTCCCTGTCAACTGTCAGGAGACCAAATCAT